ATATATTTGCATATCATTATCATTCACAAATTTAAATTTTCACTCCATGGAGGGATTTCAATTATTTTTGTAGTGACTAGTTAGGATAAATGAGTTTAATCATAATATCAAATAATACAAGGATATTTCACCTTAAGATTTACTCATTTAAATCCCTAAGGTTAAACTTTCAACTACAAATTAATTCAAATTGATTAATAATTTATTAAAAATTAAAATTTACATTTACTACTATTTAAAGATATAAATATATATGTATACTATATATATATATATAATCAATTAAATAATAGCAACTAAATAATAAGGTAAAAATATATTTAAAACGTATAAGTGATAGTTAAGATTAACAGAAAATAATTAAATAAAATAAATTATAAACACCTCATTAATTAATTAACATACATTAAACAAGTAAGATGAGATTAGGGACACCTCACCAAATAAATATATATAAGAATAATGTAAAATAGATAATTAAAATAATGTAGAAATTTTAAAGAGATAAAAGTCTCATTCTCCATACCTTAATAGAAAAATGAAATCAAGTAAAAGAAAATTTTTTTCAGTTATTTTTTCTTCCACTTGTTCTTTCTTTCTCATCTTTCTTAATTCTCTCTCTATCAAGAACTCTTATTTCTCTCTTATTCCTTTCCCCCTCCCCATGGTCCCCCAACTATGTCTATTTGTAAAAAATTTTGCAATGATTATTATTAGTTAATTTCTAATGATATATATTTTAGTTACTTTATATTCACATGAATTAATCACTGTACATTAAATGTTTTGGATAAGCACTGGTTATTTGTTTCGGTAGAAGTTTTTCTATAAAATTTTATTATTATTTTAATTATTAATGGTTTTCAATATATATATATATATATATATATATATATATATATACCACGAACGGTTTTTAATGATTACGTAACCTGAATTATATATATCATATACTGTTTTCGTAGAGATATTATTAGATTTATTTAATCTATTAAAAAAATAAATTGAGAATATTAAAATTTATCTAATAATATAATTAAATATTATATTAAAAATTTAGAATATTACATTTATAACATCGTACTAATTAACATTGTAAATTTTGTCAGTACAAAAATTTAATATATGCTATCTCATATTAAACATTGATATAATGTATTATACTTTTTATGAGTTTGATTTTCATGTTTTTTTTTTAATGTAAAGCAGCACACAAAAAGAAAGTATGAAAGTTGAAGTTATAAAAAGTATATAACATTATATCAACATTTAATATATCAGTGACATATATTAATATGCTGAACGCTGATGTATTATGTTAGCATGGTTTTTAAAATAATTATTATATATATATATATAATCTTTTATATATGTCAATTTATTTAAATTAATAAAATTTGATGTACTAAATGTGTGAACTAACTGGTTTGAAATTATTCTAATTTAATCAATAGAATCAAAATAGATCACTAGGCATACGTATTTGTTAATACTCATAATAAAAGTGAGAGATTTGTCATCTATAACGTAGTACTATCCAACTTAAGTATAATTGTTTTCAGAAGAAAATACATGTAATTTGTGTTAATTATATTTTTAATAAGTTCATATAATATTAATGCAGATTCGTGATATTTATAAGAACAATTTAATTTATCAAACATAGGTTATATCAAATAAAGTAATCTTAGTACCTAACATCCTTTTGTTATTAGCAAGTAATATATTTTGTTTTTGAAAATAACAAAGTATGATTGAATTGAGGATCATTAAATAAGTAAGAAATGAGATATATAATTTTTTTTTGTAATTTTCCATAAGTTTAAGTTAATAGTACAAAGTATATTGAAACGAGTATGTGATTAGATTTTTTTAGTATATTGAATTTTTTTATTTGGCCAATGTATTTGTGTAGATTTTTTTATGTAAGACTTCGCGGGAAGACCGGGACTAGGAGCAAGTGTACGATTACAATTTAAAAAATTCCTCGTCATGTTCGTTATATATATAGTTTTTGCATAAAATATTAAGTGGTCCATATATAATTTCCGTTGAAAGTTAAAACGAACAAACACAAATGTTACGTGGTTTCTCTATAATAATATTAATTATTTCCCAAGGATTCAACCCATCCTTCGTGGTTGTGGCTTATTATTTATTCTACTTAATTATTAGTGTGGTGGGAGTATATATTATTCAACTGGGCATAAGAGTCGTTAAAGTAAGTTGTAGTTACCAAGTTGTCTTTAGTGACATAATCGTTTTTCTCGCACATATGTTTGGATCCACACATGATACAAGTTTGGACAATTATGTCCGCACATGCTTTTGAATTTTAAAATAAGATAAAAAAGAATAACTTTTAATATTTTCTTTATCTCTATATATTATATTATTCTTCTAATTTTACATTTTTTACTCTCTTTAGAGTAAAATAATTGTATATATATGGTGTTGTTTTTAATCTTTTGATCATTGACTTCTGATGGTCTTCTTCTCCATAATATTATATTATTTTTGGTTGTCTCCTTCTATGGCAGTTAAAACCTGAGGTGAGCAGACCGAGTTTCGCTGGTAACACTCTCCACGTACGCTCTAAATTGCTGGCTAAATTAAAAGATGTATTCTTACTTGATTGTAACGCAAGCTTTCTCAATTATTTATTTATTTTTGTTTTATCCATGATGAAAATATTTGATTCAATTGTCATTTTTTTTTCAACTTTTAGCTTGGAATTATGCTTTAAGTTTTAGGTCATACATATTTGTCTGGGTTTTTCTTTATTCTTTTAATTTTAGAAATAACAAGTTTATTTTCATTTATTTATCTTTTTAATTAAATAATATCTTGAGTTCAAATCTTTTTACACTGGTTAAACTACATTTGTTTAATTACAATCAATATAATATAGATGATAATGTTTTAAAAAATTGTCATTGTACCACATATTACATTGGTCGTAAAATAATTGATATAATGTAGTGTTTTTAAATCTCATTTTTTTATTAGTAAATATAGGGTGAGTATATATATAGGTCAAGACCTGTGGAATAGTCAATTTAACTCATGGCCTGTCTATGTACGAGCTCATCTTTTTTAAATTTGTATGATCATAACAGTTTTTTTTACCTTGTATGTGACATTAAGATGTAACACTTAAATTTTTAACATATTAAGACTTTGATATTTTTGTTAAACATTGATATGTTAAGACTTTGAATTTTTATTCAAAATGTTTGATGTTGTTTACAAATGTATTTGTATTCTTTTTTTTAAGTATTATTTCTCTTTCTCATATCTCAATAGCTTAAAAAAGGAAAGAAAAAAAAAGTTATCTTGAATTTAATAGATTTTTGTTTTTTTGAAAAAAAAATCCAAACTTTTGTTAGACTTGCGGATGGACTAATTATTCGTGAATTTCGTATGTTGGAATGTGTGTCAAATTTTTTTGAATTATTTATTTTGTAAATTAGACTTGTGTGAGTCAAATCATAAATAGATCGAAATGATCCACATATCTACTCAGTGAACATTATAAAGAAATTACAAATAAAAAAAGAAAAAAAATATCATCACACGTATCATGAACACTTAAAGATAGGAATAATTCATTTTCAATCAACATTATCAATACATGTTACTAAAGTAACTAATAAGAAGACATTTTATGACGAGTGACGATTTGTCGATCATAAAATATTCCTCTTTCCATCATAAAAATGTTGAGATTAAAAGTTAATTAATATATTTTATGATAGATACTAATTTATCTATCATTGAAAAAATATTTTATAATAAGTCAATCAATATATGTCATATAATATTTTGACATATTTACAAGTATTATATGATATCACTTTTTATGTCGTATGAATAATATAAAAAGTGTATAAAAAAATTATCTTATTTTTATACTAGTGACTATTAGATTGATCTCATGATATAAGGGAGATGATATAGAATTAAAATGATATGAAAAATTTAGATTAAAATCCGTCACACTAATATAATAATTAACAATTAACATTTATCAATAAAATAAAAAAAAACTATCCATACATGCCAAGAACAAACAAATAAAACTTATCAAAGAGAAGTCTATTGATATATAATTAAGAACTACAACGTTAGCTAGCGTTTTGCCTCCTTTTCTATGTCATTACCATCTTATAAATATCAACAAATTAAATTCAAAGAAAAAATAATAATTACACACAAAAGGCTCCTGAAATATTCTCGTGTTGAACCAAAAAAAAAAAAAAAAAAAGGATCTGGCGTCTGTTGTTTCTTATTAATTCATGTGTTTCTCGTATAATCAACAACTTAATTTGATTCTGCTGGATAACTGAGTTATTGTCAGGACTCAAGTAACAGATTGCCCCACACATTTCGTCATGATTGAAAGAATTGCTGGCATCATCCTAATTTTTTTTTGTCTTTAGTTAATTAATTAGTTGCTAGAATCCAAACCTTTCCTAATTTTGGAGTGGCAAAATTTTCAACTTAGTTTGGAAATTGGAATAAAGACTGCATAACCCAATTGTTTATCTAGTTTCTTTGCTTCACAATTATTCCAAAAAAGAAATGTTTATTCCAACATACAATTATAATCATTAGCATTTTGTTGAAGTGATAGTACTTTTAACTCAGCTCCATTAATACAAGTTGAAATTTAAAGCAATGGAGTTCATGTTGCTTGCGACAGGAACTATAAAGTAGTTATATATGTAGACCAAGGTGTAGATCGAACACAAAATTAATACAAAGGTTATAACGGTTCACCACATGCACATGGCATATATGTGCACATACAAAACTCTTTATTTATATTGAGCTAACCATGCCATCCTGTGATGATTCTTTGGTGGCTTGAGTAGCAAGTCCAGAAGAATTTCCATTCACAGAATTACACTGTGTTCGAATTTCTCCTTGTGATCCTGTTAGCACTCCGAGGTTGCCCATTTTTATCATTGACGCCTTAAAGTTTTCAAAGAAAAGAGTTTGGTTACTACTAAAATTGTTGATTAAGGCAATGATATCTGCATCACTCGAGTTAAATAGTTCTTGGTCACTTTGAAGCAAGCCATTTTGAAGTTGAAGATTGGAGTAATAGTTGGAGTCAAATGTATCAGGAGTGGTTAGGTCCAAATTAGTGAGATTAGTCCCAGGTCCACCATTGGGACATATTAATTGCAATGATTGTAAGAGAGTTGTGTTAAGAGTAGAATCTGGGTTGCCAGTACTGTTGAAATTATATAATCGATCAACAAAAAATTTGCATTGAGCTCTACCAATTGTATGAGCACCTGAAAGAGAAACATTTTCAATAATTAATGGTGTAATATGACCGATACCATTTTTATTAAAGAATTTTCAATGTGTACGCATGATAATTAATAGGATACAAATATTTTTTTGTTAAAAAAAATACATTTATATCATAAAATTTATCTAACTTGTTAGTTTAAGTAATCTAAGAGAAACAAACACCCATATAAAAGCTAATGTCATTTAATGTTTACTTATTTAAATTATTTAAAACATTTAACAAGGATATACTAACAAATTGTTAGTCTGGATAGTAGTAAGCTCAACTTTCTTTAAATAAAGCCTCTAAATTTTAGTTAGATAGAAAAAGTATGATTGGAAAAAAAAATATCCCACTAAAAATAGTCAACCTAATTAATTATATCTAGTAGAGATAAATTATCAATAACGTTAGTTGATACTTCACACTAAAATATTTTTTAATATTTAACTTTTAATATATTTGCAGTGCTCTTGCAAACACACATTATAGAACTTTTTTTTTGTTGAATAAATATAATAAATTTAATACCTGAAAGTGCAACCAGATCAGTGATGTTGAGGCTTTGATTAGTAATAAATGCAGATTTAAGTTGATCAAGGGTAAAGGATGGACCCGGAAGATTTTCACCAGCAAGGGTTTTATTTGCGGTTAAGCTATCTCTTCTTCCCAATGGAACTTCCCAAGTTGGACCACTAGCCTGCCAATTAGTTGTACAAAATCTCTATAAGACAGACAAAAATGCAATGCAAAAGCTTAACAAAAATGGTTGAGATCTTATGCTTTCAATTAAGATTAAAATTCCATGAAGAAATTTAGTTATGTAATATGTCCTTTATAATGATTTACTTTTATCAATTCTTTCAACCCCATGCTTATTTTCTTTAGTCTTGTTAAATAATGATCGATATAATTATAAGCCAGAAGAGACCACCAAATCGGCCTAAAAACAAATGTTCTTTAATAAGATTAAAATTAAATTAATACGAAGGAAATTAATTTTTTAATAATCAATTTTTACATAATTACTTCATCAATTCTAAAAGTATAGTAGAAAAATATACATAAAGGAAACTCTATATTTTTTTCATTAAAACTTATTTTATTAAGAGTTAATAGTATAAAGTTTTTTTACATTGACAACTAATTATATCTTTTAATTGTGTCATGTCACTGTTAAAAGTAAATGTGTTTACAGTAACATGACATAATTAAAAGATATAATTGATTGTCAGTGTAAAAAAACTTTACATTCATAGTGTATTAACTCTTTTATTAATTGAGCAAAAGTGAGAATTACTATCTATAAAAGATGATTGAGTAATAATGTAAAGAAGGTTATGAGTTCTAATTTTAGGGCCGTTATTATAAAAAATATATCAAATTAAGTGGAAGTAAATTACTATATATACATATACAAAAGTCATTGTGCAATCAGAAATCTTTGATTTACCCCCAAAGAGGAGGAAGAATTGCAATTTTAATACTTGTTGTTCCGAAAAATAAAATAAAGTTCTACAGCCTCTTTACAATTATAAAACTATTTCAAGTACTCCTTTATTAATCAACAAAATCTTTATTATAATGATAACAACGTACATTTAAAAATTTTAATTTTATACATGTAAAAATTATTTTAATTAATAAAAATTAATTTTAAATATTTTTCTAAATATTTTTATATAATATTAATTACATAAATTTACAAAAGATAAAATATTTAAAAACTTTTATATTTTTGTTTCGAAATAATTTCAGAATATTTTTCGAAACTGATTAGATTTTGAATTTGAATTAAACCAAAAGTGCGAAGGAACTCAAACCGGATCTAATTAATTAAGCAACTTTGTATTGTTTTTAATATTCACAAAACAGCTTATTCTTTCTATAAAGATTTTCATTTTTATTGTTATTTTCTATAAACTACATTGGTATGGAATTAAGCATTATATTTTATTAAATAATCTTAGACATTCAATTTATTTATATAATATGATATATGAAAAAGTAAAACTGTAAAATGAACCCAAGAAAAAAGATGAGGTGAAAAAGTTAATACCAGATCAGAAGATATTTCAGCTGCAAGAGCAAGAATATCAGCACAAGAAACTATGCCAGGACAAGCATTTTCCACCTGTGTCTTGATCTGGTTGACAACATCCAAACCTCTTATGGAGTTGTTATTTGGCAAAGCACTTTGTTCACTCACGATTGTATCTGTGTCGTTCAACAGAATTGATGCATCACACCCCTGCCGTATACAATTCCCAGCAACACAAATTTGAGCCAAATCAAAAAGCAACATTCTCTTTCTCTTATTACCGTATTATTTTCTTATATTTAACGTGTATCTTGATACTGTGATTATCGTTGGTGAATCATGTTTCTCTTAGTTAACTCTTTATCCTTGACATTTCAAACAGCATTTACTTTTACACATAATATAACAAGGAGTGGTTGAGCCGGAGGCCCCAGTTCATAGCGGAAAAAGATCACTAAGCAGGTTGATGGAGGAGACCAAATCTTAATGTTTTATTCTCTTCCCATTTTTTTAATCTTCATTACTCAGCAATTAATTTTTCGTTCCAAAATTTATTAATTTAAAATAAAAAAAGTTAAGAGAAATTTTGTCATCCTCTTTTTTTTTTTTTTTCAACTTATATAACTCCTCCTTTAATTCCACACTTTGTCTTGTTCCTTGTGCCTTAAATCATCCTAGCCTCTACCAACAACTATATGGTACAGATAATGTTACAACAAATCACGCATATACTCAACTAACATAGCAGCTAGCTAGACCCTATTGATATAAAAGATAAAATTATAAATGAGTTCTCTTGGGTAACAGAAGTTAGAAAGGATTTACTTAATTAAAAATCAAAAGAAAAAAGAGTTAGCTATGAGTGGGAAATGGCAAGAAATGGAGTTATATATATAAGATATTACTTGAACAAAACAGTCGTGAAAGTGGAGCCTGATGAGACTGGCAAGCATGCGTGGATCAGATTGGGAAACATTTGATAGCACCTCACGTACAATGGAATGAACATCTGAACATGTGCTATTGTAGAATGAAGGATCTAACTGTGCATATGAGAACAAGGGTAGTGCTCCAAGCACAACCACTACACTGCATAAAGCTGTCGCAGAGAGACCAAGGGATTTCATATTTTCTTTCTGATGTTTTTGTTTGCAATTATTATGAGCGTTGCAAGAACACGCAGATCGGTGCTTCCAATTTATAGAGTGAGTCAAATCATGACCTGTGAATGCGATGTCTTAATTTCTTTCATGCTTCCTTCTCGGTGGTTTGAATTTTCGAACAGTGTATTAATTGGAGTAGTTTGTAAAATTTGGTCAAGTTTAAGCACGATTATTCTATGTAAAATAAAAGGGTAATCATCGATCACTCATTCATTTAAGAATAATCAATAAAGTAACGTGAATATTATCATATATCTTACTTTGGTGCACTTCATCACCTTTACCAAATGAATAACCTGGAGTATACAAATTGGATTAAGTTATATGTATATGGATAGTAGTTAAAAATACTTAAATCTATAATAAAAGCTACACAAGTATGTATGAGAACGTGTATAACATATGGGGAAGGTATTACTTTAAGAGAGTTGCTATGGTACTCATGAAATTGAAGGGTTTTCGTACATTAAATTATGTGAACAAATAAATTTTAAAAAATAAATTCAAAATAATATAAATTTTAGATTAAAAATTTATATAAGATGAATTAATCAAAAAGACTAATTCAAAAAAAAAATCAAAAAGTTAATTTTTATAACAAATTTTGTTTATATGTGAAAAAATTAAAAAATTAAAAACAAAAAATTATAATAATATTATAAAAACATTAAAATAAAAAATAAACAATACAATTGAAAAACTAATTTATACTAGAAATTCAAAAAAATTATCACCAAAGAAAAACTAAAACATATTAAAAAAATATTAAAAAAATATTAATATTAAACTTTTTAATTATAATAGATGCTACATTAAGATATAAATTAAAAATATAAAATAATATAAAAATATAGAAAATTTTATACAGAAAAATTATTTAAAATATTAAATTAAAATAAAAATAAAACAAGTAATTACAAAAAAAATTAAAAATAAAATAATTGTTCTGGTACCCCACAATTATAGTAAGTACCGTAAAATTTCACTTACTTTAAACACAACACTGCTGCATGTCGCATGAATAACTTTTTTACCGACTGTACGGGTTAAATTAAGAAAAATAGTAATTAATATGTATACTATGAATCTTAAGAGAGAAAAAAATATAAAAAAAGGTATAAATATATAAGATACGTGACATTTTGTGATAACAAGAGAGATAAAAATAAATAACGAGTGTCAAATTTTGTAATTAAGAGCATCTGTAATGGAAGTTGCTTATAAAAAAGATAAAAAAGATAGATAAGAAAAATGATACACATATAAAATTAATATTTTTAATGATTATTTATCAATTTTGAATTAATGAAATAGAGTATATATTAAATAATTTATAATTTTTTTTTATAAAATTTGTAGAATTGATTTATATATTAAGAACTTTTAATTTAATGATTTAATTGTTAAAATTTGATGTAAAATTAGGGATGATAAAATAGGTTAGTCCGATACATTTTGACTCAGTTTGCAATTGACTTGTCAAAAAAAAAATGGACCAAAAATTTTGGCCCGTTCCGCCTAAGGACAAGCTGGCCGGCCAGTACGTTAGCCCACAAAAAAAAGAAAAAAAAAGTTTGTATATTTATTTTGAGTTACTCTTATAACATTTTTCTAATATCTAAAGAACCTACATAAATCAATGTATCTAAATAATAATAAAAATATTAAATTATATATAATAAAATAAATCAAATGCTTAACAAATTTATTGTAAAATAAATTATAGATTATACACAAATAAATTTGAAGTGACATAGTTAAATTTATATTAAAAATAGTAAATAAATAAATAATTTTTAAAAAAATGGGCTGCCAGACCAGTCCGCCCTGACCTGTGATTTGGCTTGGCGGGGTAGGGAGACCCAAATACTTGGCCCAACCTACAAATTTTTGACAGGCCAGTAGGCCAGTCCGTAAGTCATAACCCATTTTGGCACCTCTATATAAAACATGATTATTAAGTAAAATAAGTATCAAAAATTGCTTTTAGAGTAAGTAAATTCATTTTCATACACACACAACACACACATATGAAGAGATCAAATTACATTAGTGTAATTTTTACAATTTTTTAATTTTTAATAACTTTATATCAAAGGTGAATTTTATCGATTCAATCGTTAAATTATAATTTTATATTACTTTGAATGTATATGTCAAATTTTATTAAAATTAAATAATGATAAGAAAGTAATCAAATTGTTTATATTTTAATATATTTTGAGATGTATATATTACATCAATTTTAATTTATATGAATGAAGTATCAAATAAAATTTTTAATATAAAATTTTGTATATTATCTAAGAAAACTAAACTTTCAATCTTACCAATGAATTTTGAAAAATAGTTATTCAATTAAATTTATCAAATAATATAATAATATAATAAAAAATTATACCGATATAATTTTTCTTATGGTTGAACGGCCTTGGTTTGGTCGGAGATATATTGTATTCAATACGGATAACTTCTGCCCTTAAAATTTTAAAGCAAAGTCGCGCTTACCATGTCTCTTTTTTACTTTTTAGTTGTCCTTCAAATTATACATTTTTATTTTTATTTTTAGATTTATTAACATTTAGCCATTTAGGACAGCCAAAGTCGTGTTTTAAGGAATTTCCACTAAAAAAAGAATAAAAGAATGAAAAAAAATGAAGCATTGAATTTTTTTTTTTTTTTTTTTACTTTTTAACCGGGATAGAGTTGCACAGTTTTAATTAAATCAGCCAATGGAAAAACACACCAATATTAATAAAGGGTTAAAATAAAAAATATATTTATTAATTAACTATTTCGAGAGAAAAAAAAAGTTTCTACTATGAAATAAAGGAAAAAAATGAACGCCCCACTCCTTCCAAAGAAGTTTAAAAACTCATTTTCCGCCCCAGCCTCCAAGAAAATATTCCTTGGTCTTAGATCACTATGTATTTAATTAATTATTTATAACTCCATGAATTTTTCACATTATATAAATTAAGATTTTCAAATTGAAAAAAATAAAACTCAATTATATATATA